ATGAAGGTCCTGCTTGGATAGGCACGCGACATCGCCTCGCCGCGTAACATGGACGCCGTTCAAGATGTAACCCAGTACTAGGTAGCGAACAGCTGGCAAAATATCACTTGCTGCCAACTTGGTAATCGTGGCTTTCATCTTCTCCCGCGACCACGGAAAGACGCCGGACTTGGGCGAGGAGCGGAAGAGAAACGGTTTCAAGCAGGTCTGCGCCTCCTAGACGCATGAACGATGGGCGTCATGCCGGTTTCTCCTGCTGTGTGGGCGGCATATTTGGAGCAGCAGGAGAGCGGCGACAACGGCAGAGGGATGGTTTAGATTGACGTCCTGGAACTGGGCCACACCGGCCCCGGCCTTGCTGTTCTGGCGGTTCATCATCCGTTCTTTTAAAAGAAAAGGAACCCAGGTGTCCGGTGTTCTGTGCGGTGGCATGGCCGGATCCTGTTAGGTCTGTGGGCAATGGTTCCATGAGGCTTCCAGAGTTTCTTGCGAGACACTATTTTAAAAACCGGTTCCCTCAAGCTTCTCAAATTCAGTTTGTGGCAGGTCTCGTCGTGAAGGAAGATGCCTGGAAGGGCGAGAAGCGAGAGGCCGAAAACGAAGGGGACCGCTGCTGGTCCAGGCATTTTGGGGGACCGGCCAGGAAGAAGCATCGGCGATACGTGTTGCAGTTGCCGCCACCGACAATGCGATGGTTTGGCCGTGACACTATCAAGAGCGGCGAGTTTACTTGCCGATGGTTTGTTAGTGCGACGCAAGGTGACGCTGGTTGATGGATTTGCCTTCTGCCAGGTCTTGGGTTGGGGTTCTTCAACGTGCCCGGCGGTTAAGTAATTCGGCTGTGACGGATTCGATGCAGTCGCATGTGTTTGGCAGGCTGTGCCGGGATGTTGTCTGGTTGTGCACCCGTACCTCATGTAGATACGGCTACGTTGCGATTCCTGCTCGCGGCCATATCCCTGGCCGAGTTGCTGCGCATCTGCTGTGTCCGTCTGGCCAGTAGTCGCATTGTAGGCAGTTTGGACCGTATGCGCGACGCGTGATGGGCACGTAATGAGCGCCGGTCGAGTCGGGGTGGGAGCGGGCTGGCAGTGAGGCGCTCTCGGAGTGCCCGCCCGTTGGAAATAACGAGGCCGCGGTAGCCAATTTAGCTGACGAATGGCGGCTGTCTTTGATCGACTGGCGAGCACAAGTCGCAGCTAGAGGAGAGGGTAGGGCAAGCCGAGACGGATGGGCCGAATCCAAACGGATGGATTGACTTGGTCGCTGGTGGAATTTGGCTGGTCGCTGGGCTTTGGGATAGTTGTTGGCGCGGATGCTGGGCCGGGGACTTGGGAAGGCGGTAAAGAGGCGAAAAGGAATGCTGCCGCCCAAAGGAGACAAGCGGGTCGATGAGGCGGCCCCATTTTCCTCTTTTATTCGTTCGTCATTTAGTGTTTAGCGGCATGAGGGGGGAGATGTGTTTGTCGTAGATTTGAAGAGCGACAGGTGAAGAAATGCAGTATTCCTGCAATATCGCCGTGATGGCTTCAGCCGCCGCTCCTTCTCTCCTCAGAAACAGCAACGGCACCTTCGGTTTGTTGGCTCGTTCCTGCCCAGCAGGTACGAAGAGCAGGAGCCGTGGCAATGCGAACAAGAAACAGCAACGCGGAGGTCCCTTCTTTCCGTGGTTCTCCCCCCCTGCCGCAGTGGTCAACAGCCAACCCAAGACGAAAGGGTGTGGGGCAGACGACCCTCTCAGGCGTGGTGACGACCCTCCCTCGCCGTGCAGCTTGCGCATTAGCAGCAGGAGCGATGGAACCCCTGCAGAATTCTCAAACAGATTTCTGGCGTTGCAGCAAAGCGGGACCACTCATCGTCGTCCCATCCCTCCTCTCTTTGTGTGAAGGTGAATTTTGATTCTCTGGTCCGTCCAGCGTTACGAGCCCGCTGCCTGATGAAGGGACTGCAGGGCAGGGCAGGGCAGGGCAGATGCGAGGTGTGGTGTTGCAGACGCCAGAGAACGGACGGCTGACCGCGACAGCGAACTGTTGCTGTCGATTGATGATTGCGACAAAAGTATTTCTAATGCTGATGTTGTGTTGTGCATACGCAGTACGGATACCGCAGTAGAGATGGATGGCATGATGGACAGATGGCGGGCTCTGAGTCTGAGGTGCGGTTACACAGGCTGCATGCCTCTGTCAGTCAGTGTCCGCTAAGACTGACAACTCGAACCACTTCGCATGCCTTTCTCAAGATTGCTTGTGAACTTACAGAATCCCATCAGCCTAGCAGTAAGCCACTGCTGCTGCTGCCCAACAGCTACTGTGCAGCACGAGCCCGGAGTCTCGAGTCCTGTCGACGTTGACAACGTAAGGCAGTCGGCGTAATTACTGCACAGGAGTCAACACTGCCTCGGCGCCGGCCTTGGTCCCCTCCTGACATCATAGTATCGATATCAATACAACCTGGGTCACATCAGTTGCCCGCTTCCCGCCATCACAACCCGTCAACCGTTGGGCACCGCCTGGGCACACTGGGCTGGCTGGGTACCTTGCCAAAGTAAAAAGATGGACTGCGTAGTAAGGTAAGGCACGGCGACAGGGCAGGCACTATCATCAGTTGCAACGGTTGACGCGCCCGCAAAGCCAACCTGGACGACAAGACTCGGCGATGCTCCATCAGGCTGCTCATCCGCGTCTTTGACTGGCTCGCCCTGGTATCTTTCCCTTCGCGGCTGGTCGGGCGGTACGTACCGCTCGCTCGTCTATTTATCTGCACTTGTCTGGCACCAAGGCAGGTACTAGGTAGTTCCCTGAAGAGTGGGTCTCCATTGCCTGAAGCCAGGAACCGCTCGCCGCTCCGCATCGCGCGCACGAGGCAAGGGGCCCGTTCCCCACCCTCTTCGTCTCCTCTCGGTCTCCTAGTGTCCCCTCCTCTTTCTGGCTGCGTGCTTCCTCCCATCGCCATTACCTTTTTTTTTTTTTTTTTTTTCTCGCATACAGAGGCAGACACAGCAAAGAGAGAGAGAGAGAGAGAGAGAGGGACACACACACACACCACAGAAAGTGTGTCTTCTTCAAGCGGCGGTACGTATCTGATTTGCTCGTTCTCTTCCCTCGAGCGTGACCTTCTTACAGGGACTCCCAGTCCTCACAAACGCACCATCTGGGGGCACTGCCAGGGTCGAGCAGCAGTTCAGGCCCCCATCCACCCATAATCCAGCGGACCAGCCTTCACCCTCCAATAATGCCAATCCCACCATTTTGTGCAACCTTTTCCTGTCCAAGGCACACGCACAGGCACAGGGCAGGCACCTTCTTTTGCTTTGAGGAGGTTCCTGGCGCGGTGCCTTGTGCCTGTTGTATCCGTACCGTACTGTGCCTGTCCATCATCGTCCATCCGGTCCTGACCTGACTATCCTTCCATGTGCCGAGCATGCTTGCGGCCCTCTCCTTACCTACGCAGTATCGCTCCCTTATCCCCCTTCTCCCATGTTCTCCCGTGTCCTGTACCTACCTATGTACTAAGTGCCTACCGCAGAGATCACTCACTGAGGTGTACATACATACCTACGGATTCTCTGCCTGTACGGATACCGCCAGAAGTGATCCCATCCATCCCGTCCAATCTATCCATGCCTTAATATCCAGTCTTCACTGCTGCACCACTCATCGTCCCAGTGCCGCCTGTACGGACTGCGTGCTGCTGCTGCTGCTGCTCGTCACTCTCGTCTTCCCACACGCTGCCCGTCTTGTCGTTTACACACACCTCCCACACCCCCCAGTCGCACACATCCGACCTCTCTTACTGTCCCTCCTTTTGCACGTTCTGAACCGCCGCCCTACGCAGTCCTACTGTGACCTCGCTGTAGCACTACGAGTACATGGTGACCTCCCCTCCTTTCCTTTTGAGCGACGGTCCATCTGTACTTACCACAGAGACCCCCCCTCTTCATTCCACTCACACACGTACACACACAACCACCACCACCACTACCACCACCCACCACGCTCCCTCTCTCTCTCGCTCTTCTCGCCAAACAACTACGGCTCTCCTCCGCTCTGCTTTTTAATCCCATTCCCTCCCTTGCTTTGCGAGTCTCGCGCAAACACGCCAGACAGTCCTGCCAGCCAGCCAACCGTCGGCATCGCGCCTCCAACACTCCCATACCGAGAACTCCCCAAACAGCACCAACACACAACGAGCACCCATCAGCAGCAGCAGCCCGATTGCCTGTCTGGATCTGGAACTTCGCCCCTCCTAGCCTCGTTTTTAATTTGATCACCGCCGCCCACACATTTGCGGCCGCGCCTGCGAAAGCTAAAACCGCGCTCCTATTTGTCGCGCCGCCCTATCAGCACTGCCAAAAGCAATATCCATTCGGCGTCCCCCCCGAAACGAAGCTTCCGTTCGAAACACCACCGAAAAACCAACCTCACATTCGAGAAGTCTGCCATCTTGGGCTCGCTGCCACTCAACCTTTTCTGTCTCTCGTGGCGTTCGCTGGACGACATCCCAATTTTGAAGCAACAAACTCGCCTTCAATCGAGCGACTGAACTTTTCGACACCCAATCCCATCGCGCGACCCGACTCGGCTCACCTTTCGCTGTCGCCCACACCCCCCTCCATCATCTGCGCCGTGCCGTCTCCGGCTTCGCAGCCACATCGTGCGAACCACTCTCCTTCCTCCCGCTCGCCGACTGCGTCACGACAGCCGCGCCTCAGGCCTTCAGCCTCGCTCTTTCATCACTTCACGCTGGATTTCCAAAGTCTCCTGGCAACCCGTCACGACGACCCCTGCACGACACGCAAACCGACTCACCAGTGTCGGCAAGCATAACTTCATCGCAGGCTCCGAGGCTCATCGCTTCTAGGGGCTCGCTTGGGCGACCAGCCTGCTTCGCAAACCCGTCACCCTTGAGCACGAGCAAATATGTCCGTCATGCTTCAAACACCTTCCCGAGCTTCGACCGCCTCCTCCTCCTCCTTCCAACCCCTCTCCCGCCAAAACACAATGTCTTCCTACGATGGATCGCGGTCCGCCCGCCAATCTAAGCGGTACTCCATGTCCGCGCTGTACATGTCCATGTCAGCAAACGAGACTGATCTCGAGATTGAGGATGACCTGGCCAAGGGTAGGAACACACAGGCGCATCGTTCTTTGAGTATCCCTCGCTAATCTCTCCTCCGCAGCCCAGAAGATCCTACGCGAACTCAAGTCCAAGATCTCGTCCCAGTCAAAGAAGAACTTCGTCCTCGAAAAAGATGTGCGATACCTCGACTCGCGAATCGCTCTTCTTATCCAGAACCGAATGGCGTTGGAAGAACAGAACGAAGTTGCGAGCCATTTGGAAGACGCCACTGAGATGCAGGAGGGCGACTTCCCCAACGACGATAAGACGCAAAAGTATGGCAACTTGATGTTCCTGCTGCAATCCGAGCCGAGACACATCGCCCACCTTTGTCGTTTGGTGTCCATGTCCGAGATCGATTCTCTGCTGCAGACCGTCATGTTCACCATTTACGGTAACCAGTACGAGAGTCGTGAGGAGCACTTGCTCTTGACCATGTTCCAGGTTTGTCACGCGTTCCGATCGCAGTTTCGTATGCTAACCGAATCAGTCCGTCCTTACCTACCAATTCGACAACACCCCCGAATACTCGTCGCTTCTCCGCGCCAACACCCCAGTATCGCGAATGATGACCACCTACACAAGGAGAGGACCCGGACAGAGTTTCCTCAAATCAGTGCTGGCCGATAGGATCAACAGCTTGATTGAGCTGAAGGACCTCGACTTGGAGATTAACCCACTCAAGGTCTACGAGCGCATGTGTGAACAGATTGAGGAGGACACTGGCAGCCTTCCCGCTTCGCTGCCCAAGGGCATCACAGCTGAACAAGCTGCAGAGAACCCTCAAGTCCAGGCCATCATCGAACCGCGCCTGACGATGCTCACCGAGATTGCTAATGGCTTCTTGTCGACCATCATTGACGGGCTCGAGGAGGCACCATACGGTATTCGGTGGATTTGCAAGCAGATCCGCAGTCTGACGAAGCGCAAGTACCCTGACGCTAACGATCAGGTCATTTGCACTCTCATCGGTGGCTTCTTCTTCCTCCGCTTCATCAACCCCGCCATTGTGACGCCCAAGTCGTACATGCTCATTGACGGCCAGCCTGCGGAGCGCCCGAGAAGAACACTAACCCTGATTGCAAAGATGCTGCAGAACCTGGCCAACAAGCCTTCGTACGCCAAGGAACCTTACATGGCCAAGTTGCAGCCCTTCATTCAAGGAAACAAGGACCGCGTCAACAAGTTCATGCTTGACCTATGCGAGGTGCAAGACTTTTACGAGAGCTTGGAGATGGACAGATACGTGGCCCTGTCGAAGAAGGACCTGGAGCTGTCCATTACATTGAACGAAATCTACGGCATGCACGCCCTCATCGAGAAGCACCACGGCGAACTCTGCAAGGATGACAACTCGCATCTTGGTATCATCATGTCAGAGCTGGCGGCAGCACCTCCTCAGGTTCCGCGTAAGGAGAATCGCGTCATCAACCTTCCCCTCTTCAGCAGGTGGGAGACGGCGATCGACGACTTGACCGCGGCGCTCGACATCACGCAAGAGGAGGTGTACTTTATGGAAGCCAAATCCGTCTTTGTGCAGATCATGCGATCCATTCCTGCAAACAGCAGCGTTGCCCGACGACCTTTGCGACTTGAGAGAATCGCGGACGCGGCGGCTACGAGCCGCAATGACGCGGTCATGGTCCGCAAAGGCATCAGGGCAATGGAATTGCTCTCTCAACTGCAGGAACTGAGAGTTATCGACAAGAGCGACCAATTCAGTTTGTTGCGTGATGAGGTTGAGCAGGAACTCCAGCACCTTGGCTCTCTCAAGGATGGTGTTATCCAGGAGACTGTCAAGCTTGAAGAGGTGTACAAGACGATTCGCGACCACAACACCTACCTCGTCGGCCAGCTGGAGACGTACAAGAGCTACCTGCACAACGTTCGCTCTCAAAGTGAGGGCACAAGGAGAAAACAGCAGAAGCAACAGGTCCTTGGCCCTTACAAATTCACTCACCAGCAGTTGGAGAAGGAGGGCGTCATCCAGAAGAGCAATGTTCCGGACAACCGCAGAGCAAACATTTACTTCAACTTCACCAGCCCCCTGCCGGGAACTTTTGTCATTTCTCTGCATTACAAGGGTATGTTACAATTTGTGCCTTCCCAGTACTGTTGACTAACTTTACCAGGACGCAACCGTGGTCTCCTCGAGTTGGATCTCAAGTTGGATGACTTGCTCGAGATGCAAAAGGATGGACAGGATGACTTGGATCTCGAATACGTGCAATTCAACGTCACCAAGGTTCTCGCTCTGCTGAACAAGCGATTTGCGAGAAAGAAGGGGTGGTAAACGCCAGCACACGGGTCTCCCAACTCACAACTGTACAACTTTTTCTCGGAGATACCCACGACTGGCTTTTGATGGAATTGGGCGTTTCGGCATCTCTTTGGAACCTGATACCACGACGTTCTCGTCTTCGTCCCACCGCCCTCAACTTCCCAGCATTCGTATCCATCAATGCCTCTTTTACCCGCTTTCCTCATTCTACGAACGTCTCTTTGCCACGGCCGCCTTTAATTCGCTTCTCGACCATCTCGTTCAGTATCCAAACGCATCCAGGCGTACTTTCAACTCTTCACCAGAACCTATCTCACGCAGTATAAAGGTGGCATTCTCTGGACTCGGTCTGCCGTACAAGATTACCGCTTGTGCATATGGGAACATGATTTCGTCTTTCTCGGCCTCTTTCGTCGCACATCACATTGGCGAATTGGTGGCCCGGTCAGGTGGTTTTTTTCTGCGCGATATACCTGCTACGTTATTTTAATTGCCCCTGCGGCCGGAGCCAGGACGTTTACATTGTGCGTGTCGTGTGTTTTGGTCTCCATTTTCCAAGTCTCTTTTTTTTTTGGGTCCATGTCTTGATGCGCGATGACGGCGCGGGGTTGTTTCGGCTGGTCCGGCGGCTTTAGTGTATGTCCCGTCTACTTAGTTCATGTCATGAAATGATTGGGGTGTAGAAAGAGAAGGGGGAGGGATAAGCTTGAACGAGAAGGAATGAAATGACATGGATGATTTCTGATGTCGAAACCGAACTGTTCGCTCTCGTGATGTCTGATGCGTGCAACCGAGTCGCTCGAGCCCCGGTCTGGGTTTGAACCTGTTCGAGCGGTTTTGCTTTCCTTGCCGCCAAAGGGACTGGCATCGCAGAGCGCAAGATGAACGGATGCGCTGGTATGCCATGGTGCTTCGTATCTCATTCCCACGGTGAGAGTTTGCGTGATGGCGTGGTCTGCGCATGTAGCCCGGAACTCTCTGCCTAGGGCACACTTTCGTCTGATGTCTTGTTCGGACAGCCGCAGTCGGAGTTGGGGGCGGATGACGTGGGAGTTTTCTTGTTCTGGCCCCCGCCGCTGCCACGTTGTTCGGGTGTGATGTGTGATGTTTCAGCTGCCTTTGTGGGCTGGATCTGCGTGTGATTGGGTGGGGATGGAAGGGCCTGGCCATGTGGGATGGATGTTGATGAGGTATGGAGCACGAGGTATGTATGGTGGTGGTAGGGTTGAAGGGGCGGGGAGGGATGGATGAGTGCGGAGGTTTGTGAAAGTTGCCGGCCGGTTGAATCGGAGGTTGGTGAATTCCTGGCTGGGAGGATGACGAGGAGGAGGGGGTTTGCGATGATTACGTGGAAGGTTTGGTTGGCGTGTTACAGGTTTTAGAGGGTTGATTCTTTTTGGTGTTATCGGATTTTGAGAAGTGTGTGTTGCGTGTGATTGGGGATGCCATGTGGGTGTGAAGGTGTTTGTTTTGGGGAATGGGGGATGCGGTACAAGGTTGATGGTGACGTCTTTTTTGTGGATGTTTTGATCTTGTTCGGATTATAGGGATCTGCCTGGTGTTGGTTGTTAGAGTTGAAGGTGTTTTTCTGGAACTTCACATGTCAACAGTCCAGCAGGGTTTCCTGTTGTAGCATCTTCACAAGAAATCCAATGCTGCTAGATCACCTTCATGACCTATCGTTTTCTCATGCCGATGTCCTCGTATAGGAGCTGAGAACGAGTCTTGGGGTTCGGATCATTACGTCCATCGCGATGTCTTGTTTCCGCTAGGGATGTATATGTAACGAGAGCAAGGACGGGCGGCCGGCCTCTAGCAGGGGTCAACATCACTTGTTTGGACGACAACGACAACGATAGCGAGGACGGAGACGGCCAGGACGATGAGAGCAGCAACAAGCCAGCTCAAGTTGACAGCACGATCACAACATTTTCCACGAGCTTCAATGTTCTATTCTCTAAAGCAGCGCTCAAGTTGGTATCATTAAACGACACGATAAAGACAGACCTGTCTTCTAACTCAAGCAGTCAAACATTGCCAAACACCTTCTCATCACTCAATTTACTCGTAGTAATTGATCCAAAATTCATACGGCGAAAAAGCTTGCCGATCCACGAGGCCTGTGTTTCTGTGCCATCAGGAGGAGTTGCTGGTGGCCGGCGACTGGTCAGCCTCCTCTTTCTTCGAGGTCTCGTCTCTGTAGGCGGCATCGTCACGCTCGGAGGCATCTTATCATCGGTGCCGGTATCTATGAAGTATTGGAACGGCCATATGAAGGCTGCAAAGGTGTGCTTTGCAAGCGAATATCCGGCCCTCGTCTGCAACATTATGAGGGCTATGAGGAACGGGACGCAGACGCATACCATCGTCACCGCAAAACGCCAGTCCTGCGGCGAGATGGTGAACTCTGTGATGCCAAACACAGACTAGAACAACATGTCAGGATTGTAACCCTTATTTCATCCGCAGGGGAGTGACTTACGGTGACGAATGTCAAGGGCAGAAACACCATGGACCCCAGAGTGAGGACCTTGATGTTATCCCCCTGCTCGATAGCCCGCCGGGACTCCTTGATCGAACTCCCGCTAAAGAGCTGGTCGCGCAGATTCTCAATCTCCTTCCTCGTCGCCGCGTTCTTCACATGCACCGCCTCCAGATCGCGACACGCCCGCTCGAGATCAAGACGCAGTGGGGCCATCTTGTCGCGATACGCCCTGCCTTCGGGAGACTCCGGCGCCGGGTGAGGCCACAATGTCGGATGCCGGCCGTCCCAGAAGTCATCAGGGAAGTTGTCGCGATAGGCCGACAGCATGGCGCGCAGGCCCTCGTTCACGACGCCGAGAGTGTTGTAGGCCCAGAAGTAGCGCCGGATGTAGGTGAAGTGCTTGTCCTCGAAGAGCAGCTTGTCCCGCAGCCGGGCGTCGAACATGAAGTCCGTCGGGGGCGTGATGAGCTTTGCGATGCGGGCGTGGAGGGCCAGGCTGCGCTTCGTGGCGTCGCGGTATTCCGTGACGAGGGCGTCCATGAAGGCGTAGGGGCCCGAGACGAAGGTCTTGCGGGCTTCGGCGTCGCCGCCGCGGAGGGTGTGCTCGTCGTCTGGGAAGGACTGGATGGATAGGAGGTGCCAAGGGGCGAAGGTGTCGAAGAGGAAGCCTTCCTGGGGACCTTCGCGGCGGCGGGTTTGCTTGACGGACTGACGGGGTTGGCCGGACAGGGAGAGGGCGAGGACGGAGCTGCATTCTGCAATGTCGATGTGGTCCCTGGAGCGTTTGTCTGCAGGACGCTTGTCGTATTTTTGCCACGGGGCGGGCTCGAGGCCGTCACCGACGACGGTGTAGTACTTGAAGGCGAAGAAAAAGCTGCGCTGCCGAAGGTGAGGCGGCGACGAGTCACGTGCGAAGGCGCGGTGGACGTAGGCAGTCGTCTTGCCGTTGTTCTCGTGGTCGGTGATGAGGTGGTTGAGGAGCTCTGACATGTCGAAGTAGGGTGCCATGGTCATGTGGAGGGCGCCGAGCATGAGGGCCGAGGGTTCCTGGAGGATGGTGACGAGGCCGACGGCTTTGCCGTCTGCATGGATGCCTTTGAGGGCGTTCCATACCGTCGGGGCGTCGACGATCTGGCTGGATGAGGGGATCGCCTCATTCCCCCGGCGTCGGTCTGGCTGTTTCCCGACGGGGCGGGGGATGCCTTCCTTGTCGACATCGTAGAGCTCAAAGGTTGAGCTGACGTAGCCCTGGCTTTCGTAGGCTGCAAAGTCGTCGAATTTGGTGCTTTGGTCGATTTCAGCCTGTCTTTTGATGACGCCTGTGAGGGCGATGGCAGCGCCGCCGGTGAAGTCGAATCGTTTCAGATGGCTTAGAAGCTGCGCATCCTCCCAGGAGACTCTCTCGATGAGCCTTGGTGCGGGCGAAGTGAAGGAGCCGTCAGAAGCAACGCGTGGGATGGAGACGTCTAGCAGGGGAAGGTACTCGACGTCGAGCTCAGAGTGGATGGATGAAGGAACATGCTTCTCGCGGGTGTGAGATAGTGGCTGTTTCTCAACAGAGTCGGAGAAAGTTGGGCGGCGCGGACGACGAGGTGTTGGCTGGAAGGCTGCCTCTGAAGAGAGCGTCGGACTTTGAACCGGGCTTTGGACTGGACTATGGGATGGGCGAAGGTGCGGTGAGCTTGGTAGTGTCGCTGAGGCTCTCGAGTCTGATCTCTCTCTGACAGCACCAGCGAGATACTCGTGGAGGCTTCGAAGACTTTGGAGGTATCGTTCATGGCTTGCCTCCACCGCCTTCAGAAGCTCCTCGGGGCTCTGCGAGGACATGATGAGCTACTTGCAAACAGTGAAGTGATAAGAATGTTCAAGAATTGCTGTTGAATTATTTTCTATTGTCTCAATCACAGGAGATGAAAAGACATGAAAGACACTGGAGACTGCCGTGGCCTTTTCTACTCACCAGCCCTCCAGCCAGCTCGGTGAGGCACACCGGCGAGCTCCAGAGGCTCTATGTGCATTAGTCTAGGCATCTCTGAGACGATCACACCAAGTGCGGCTGAGCCGCGGATCAAATCCGTGGTGGTGCGTGGGGTGCAACATTCATCTTGTGGCCGTCCAAGAAATGACTCTTTCCCCAAGACTCAGGATGCGAGTATCGGCCGATGCCGAGGCAGCAACATGGCATTGGTAAGCTGGAAGCGGTCGCGGCCAACGACACCGAAACCAAGCTTTCGGCCACTGCGCCGGAGGGGAAGCACGGATGTGTTCCCCGTATGCAGGTTTGTGCGCCCCGACTGTGAGGTGACGCAGATGACGAACTGCCGGGGTTCGAGATACGCGAGACGCACCGGGGAGGGGGAAACATCAAAGTCGATTAAGACGGAATCCAAAGTGCCAGAGCGTTGCATGGGTCGGAGACGGAGAGCGATCGCAAAAAACAGGGCTGTCGAAGGAGGGCCGGTCGCGGGGCGGCTTGCGGCGGCATAGCCCGTGAAAGTGCAAATATTGCCTTGGCAGGCGTGGATGGCGCTGCGGACAGACGGATCAATGCTCGACTCCTCTCTTGAGGTGGCCTTTTTTTGTCCATGTTTGAGAGTCAGGTAGGGAGGATAACAGAGGGGGAGGGGTAGTCGACGGGGCCCGCCGACCGTTTAAAAATGTCTCAATGACATGATGCAAACGAACACGCTAGATCATGTGGGATTGCTTCGCCGCATGGCACTTGGCATGCATCCGGGGTAGCTGGAACATTGAACTGGCGCTCTTTCACCGAGCGACATTTCGGGCAAGATCACAGGCCATGACTCTGGAGGCGTCGTCACGGGGCAGGCGTCAATCAGCAAATCGCCAAGCACCAAAGCACCATGTGTACAGAAAATCTGTTCATTGCCAGTTCGTATCTAATTACTGGGTATCCCCCAAGCAGCCACATATACTGTTATGGCTCTGTCATCATCCAGGTCGTTGTCTTCGTCTAAACCGCCGTATTGTGCATCATCTAATGAATACCCTCCAAGGCCGGCGTAATAATCGGGGTATGAGCAAAAATTCAAGACACCAAGCACACCAAAAGGTCATCTAGTGGGTCGCGACGGCGGGCTTGGCAGGAGCAGGCTCGTCGGCCATGTCGACGTCCATGGCGCCATCATCGGCGGCGGCCTGACCCTCGCCCTCCTCCTCCTCCAGCTCGTCCTCGCTCTCGCCCTCAATGTCGACGCTGCCGTCATCGGACATCTCATCCTCCTCGCCCTCGGCCTGGGCGGGCTCGCCGTTCTCGACACCGGCCATGGCAGCGTCGTCGCTGTCGGCCTTCTCGCCGTTGGCACCCGTCTCGAGGGCGACCTCAACCTCTTCCTCCTCGCGCTCCTCGGCGCCGTACTCCTCATCATCGGCAGCAAGGTCGGCTTCAGGCTGCTCGGGAGGGAACTCGGCAGGGGCAGAAGCCTCGTTGTCCCTGGACACATGTCAGCTCCATCACACATTGTTTCTTTCCCCCCACCCATAGAACATACCACTTGATGGCGAAGCGAGTCACACGGGGCTTCTCGGCGAGGATGTTGCGGCGGACGCGCTCGATGATGGGCTTGGAGGGAGGCTCCGCGTTGAGCTCCTCGGAGTCATACTCGTTGTTGACATAGTAGCCAACACGGACGAACTCACGACCGTCGTAGGCACAGGTCAGGAGGACGACGGTGACGCCGATAACGTCGGCGTCGGGGATCTTGGAAGTGTTGGGGGCATCGGCCTCGAAGACGAACTTGTTGGTGCCGACGGGAATGGGGCCAACCAAAAGGCTGTCAAGCTCCTGATCGTACTGGTCGCTGTGGCCTTTGGGTCAGAGAATGGCGGTGTATGTGAAAAATCCACTTTGACTAACCTGGTAGCCGAGCCAACGTAGGTGAGCTTCCACTCGAGGTCTGGTGAAAAATTGTCAGCGGGGGTGTATTGGGAGACGGAAAGATGCATCACATACCCTTCTCAAGCGACTCGAGGCACTCGAAGGTGATCTCGAACTCGTACTTGTCGGTGAACTTGGCGGGATTGTTCAGAATCTGAACGCCCAGAAGCGAGACGATAGACATCGTGGAATGTGGGTGACCTGTCGGTATGCGAGGGTAGGATGGAAAAGTAGATGCGAGAAGGTCTGCGCGACCTGAGCGAAGCAGAATGTGAAGGGGAAAAAAGGATAAAGTGCTGAACTGCAACGGGCAAGGCGGTGGAGGAGAGGTGTTTTGGGAAGGATGAATTGTTGACGGCGGGCTGCAGAGATGGAAAGAGAAGGTATCGTTCGTCCCGGTCAATTGCGACGGGACAACGACCAAACGTGGGACGCGCCTGCGTTGACCGCGAATTTCGCGTAGAGTGGTATCCACTCCGGAAGCTAGCCGCTCTCGTCTAGCGCGAGCTGTCAGCCACCCTGAGGCGTCAAGACACGGGGCATCGCGCAGGCAACGAAGCTCCTTTGTGTGGCACGCACCCCAGCTGCCTTATCTTATCGCAGCTGCCGTCGTATCCGGTGTTTATCCAGGCGACCGCCTAACTGCGCTAGCCTGATTTCGGCGCTTGCTCATCCATCAATCTTTCTCGTCGCCAACTCTCAGCCTTCCAAATTTGCGGCCCTTCTGCTTGTTGTCATTGCCATCTGCTCCGCCGTCGACCGCGGCCATCAGTGACTTTCCGAATCGCGCATCATCAGAGTCTTTACAGCTGCCTATTTCACTTTGATTGTCTTTGACCGACCCGCGAATCAATCTTTCTGCTCTGGAAGCTGCAGCGCATCTGCGCCTGCGATCCATCAGCTCACAGCCATCACGTCAACCTCTTCGGCCCAGTGCTTGTCTGCGAGAACTTTTGCGAACCCTCCATCGATCGAAAGCATCGTTCAGATATCTGCCATATACCTTTGCGACGAACGCTGAGCTCCGCCGCCGCAATGGATTCCGAACTCCCAGAGAACGGCCAACACGTTGAGGGTGCGTCTTGGGGAGAAGAGGGATATGGAGGAGAAGAGATTCAGCATAGCGACCAACAAAGTCAAGATCCTGCCTTCTCACTTGATGCTGCGAATGGTGACCAAGAAGATGCTGGCGAATACGACCCCGAGTCCGTCAGCTACGACCCAGCCTCCGTTTCGATAACTCCAGTCCCACAGATCACAGAGTCCCAGAGCCCGACCGTTCCCACTCCGCCTGCGTCCGCGAAACCAAAATCGGGCAAGCCCAAGACCAAGGGAGGATTCCTAGTGGGAGACTCCGATGATGAGGAGGAGGACGCGTCGACCCCGGCTTCGAGCACTGTTGCTGCGCCGGCTGCCGTCGCACACAATCCTTCCCCCCTTCATGCGTCCATACCAGCTCAGAATGCCCCTGCAGAACAGCTGCACGAGGCTGTCCCTGTGAGAGCCCCCAGTGCTGCGTCTGCTTCTGCTGTGGCTCCCGCCCCTGCCCCCGCTCCCGTCCCTACTCCTGTGCCGGCTGCTCAAGCTGCCCAGTCTGTCCAGACCAGAGACCCTAATGACACGATTGGTATCTTGGAGGACCGCGTGAAGGAGGATCCTCGTGGCGATATGGATGCATGGCTATCTCTGATCGCAGAGCACCGCCGCAATGACCAGCTGGACGAGCTTCGCGGTGTGTACGATCGGTTTGTGCAGGTGTTCCCTCAAGCAGTAAGTCGAACCTCCATGAAAGAGACTCTGGTACTAAAAAGTTGCAGGCCGAAATTTGGGCACAATGGGCCCAGCTCGAGCTAGACTCAAACCGATTCCAGACCGCAGAAGAGCTCTTCAACCGCTCCCTCGTCAATGCCCCCAATGTTCAACTGTGGACTGTCTACCTGAACTACATCCGCAGGCGGTACGACCTCAACAACGACCCGAATGGCGAAGCGCGCCGAATTCTCAGCATGTCGTACGAGTTCGTCGTTAGTTCTGTTGGTATCGACCGTGACGCCGGTCAGCTTTGGAAGGACTACATCCAGTTTATCAAGAGCGGGCCCGGCCAGGTTGGAGGCAGCGGTTGGCAAGACCAGCAGAAGATGGACCAGTTACGGAAAGCCTACCACCGTGCCATCACGGTGCCCACTTCAGCTCTCACAGACTTATGGAAGGATTATGACCAGTTTGAGATGAGTCTCAACAAGACCACTGGTCGCCAGTTCATTCAGAAGCGCTCACCTGCGTACATGACTGCCAAGGCATCCAACTCGCAGCTTGACCGTCTTATTCCTAGACTTCAACGGAGTACCCTGCCTCGCCTCCCTCCCGCCCCTGGCTTCGACGGCGATCAGGAGTTCATGGAGCAGGTCGACCTCTGGAAGAAATGGATACAATGGGAGAAGGAAGACCCCTTGGTTCTCCAGGAAGAGGAGCCCGAAGCTTACACAGCCCGCGTGCTCTACTGCTACAAGCAAGCGTTGATGGCGCTTCGCTTCTGGCCGGAGATGTGGGTCGACGCAGCTGAGTGGTGTTTTGCCAATAATGTTGTCAAAGAGGGCAAAGAGCTTGGGTTGTCTTTCCTGACCGACGGTATCACGGCGAACCCTGAGAGTGTCTTGCTGGCACTCAGACACGGCGACCGCGTCGAGATGACATATCCTGCGGGTGACGACGATGCGAGCAAGGCCGCTCGCGCAAAGGCTATTCGGGAGCCCTACAGCCAGGTCCTCGACAATCTCTATGCCATGTCGAAGAAGCTCAAGGAACGGGAAGAGCAGGCCATTCGCAGGATTGAGGAAGCTGCGGCTTTCGATCCCAACATCAAGGACTCTATCGAGCGCAACGACGATGATGTTGATGGTGAGGCCCCATCGGCTGAACTTGCCAAGGAAGAGCGCGTCAAGGCTGTAAAGCAGGGTTTCTCGGTGCAAACCGATATGCTGAAGCGTACCATCTCGTTCGTGTGGATTGCGCTTTGTCGGGCTGCGCGCCGAACCCAGGGCAAGGGAAGCGCCAGCCAAGGTCTCCGTCAAGTGTTCATCGAGGCAAGGAGCCGTGGCCAGCTGACCAGCGACGTCTACATTGCTGTTGCCAAGATGGAGGCACTCATTTACAACGACCCAGCTGGCGGCAAAATCTTCGATCGCGGTGCAAAGCTCTTTCCGGAGGATGCTAGCTTCATGCTTGAATATATCAAGTTCTTGCACTCCAAGGGGGATACGACAAGTAAGAACTCAATCAGGCGTGTGTAGATTCGTACTAACCCATGACAGATGCCCGCGTCGTCTTCGAGACCTGTGTCAACCGCCTGACGCAGAAGGAAGAGAAGAGGGACCAGGCGAAGGCGCTCTACTCTTACTTCCACAAGTATGAGTCGCAATTCGGCGAACTGTCCTCAATCGCCGAACTTGAAAAGCGCATGTCCGAACTCTGGCCTGCCGACTCCAAGCTCGCCCACTTTGCCAGCCGCTTCTCCGTCGAGACCTTCGACCCTATCGCCTACCGCCTCATCATCTCGCCTGCTGCTCAACTGCGACCCAGGATGCTCATCCCCGTCGTTGAGCAGCCCACATCTGTGCGCCAGACTCCCATGCCTGTGCCAATTCGACAGACTGCCAGCCCCGCTCCACAGTACATGGGTGTCACCAACTCACCCAAGCGCGCCTTCCCTGGCGATGACTATGAAGAGCTCAACAGACCACGGAAGCTTGCTAGAGGAGAGTCGCCTCTGAAGGGTGCTGCCGGTCGTCGTCTCGACCAACAACGACGAAACCAAGGGGCACCGCTCTCCAGAGACATTACCTTTTTCCTTGGTATCCTCCCTCCTGCCCACGCCTACGCTCACTCGCCCGATGCCTACCGCCTTAACATTCACAACCTCGTCGGCCTTATTCAGAACACCCCGGTGCCCGACTACAGCACTTGGAAATCTAACCCGGACCCCCGTTCCAGGCAAAACAACGGTATGCAACCCCCCTCTCATGGCCGCCAGGCCTCTGGTGACTACGCCGGATATGGTGTTGGCGGACGAAGCTCCCCTCAACGGACTCTCAGTCCGTTTGAAGGTTCCGGCCGTCGTCTGGCATCTGGTTACAGAAGTTCTCCCCTTCGACCTGGTTCCAGTGGCGGATCTTCTGAGCCCGCTGTACCGTTGGCAACTGCGCCTTACGACCCAAACCTGGCCTGGACCCAAACTCTCTCTGGCTATCAAGCACCTCCACAACCATACGGAAGATATCAGTATTGAACCATGGACTGACAATGAACGTAGGCAACGGTTTCCGCAGAGGTTGGGCTTAGTCACTGGCGTTGGCATTTTGTTGTTGCACGACCCTCTTTCTGATGGCAAGAGCCTTTCGAATGGTCGCTAGAGCCGTGATCTCAACGATCAACTGGTCTTCTGCTCGCGGCATAATGACTTGTCGCCGTCACGAACGTGGGCCCACGACGTCAACCATTTTCTTTTTTTCGATATCAGCTATGCGGGCCTTTCTCGCGATTCATGAAGGAACAACACCGCAAGTCGACAGAGTTGTTCTGTATAATACAAAAGTTAGGGGACTGCATCGACGGGGCGTTCGGGGTGGTAGATATTCATTTGATATGCTCCCACGGGGGCATATTCTTAAACAGAAATTCGTCATTCGAGCGACATTACTCAACTCGATGGCTCATGACGACCCAAACTGGGATGACAGGTGGATAGGTAGCAGGAAAGCATCAGCTGGTTTCATGGTGAGCCAGCACCCCAATACAAATCAATCTCCTCATGTTGTCTTCCACCTTAGTTCCTTTGACCCTGCCCTCCCTTCCCTTTTCTTTCATGCAGTGTCTCTGGAGCGCAGGCACCTTTGTACAGCTTGAAGGACGCCACGATAGTGCAGTCACAGTGGATCTTCTCTTCTGCTGTCTCACCTCTTTTACACACACTCTGAAGAGCTCGACCAGCCCTCAGGCGGTGAGGAGCAAAGTCTCTTCAGCAAGGTGAAGTTCAGCAAAGACCACTCGGCTTGATGCCTCTCGACCTCTGGTGATCCCTACGAGTTGTCCTAGGGCATGGATGAAGGCTCAGCCCACAAACCCTGTTGAGTTGAGCAATATCTGCTCGGGTGTCCCCCCAAGTCTGCGTCAAGCTCACCTTCGCCCAGGAAGATTTTGATTTTGATTTTAATCTTGATGCCCAGGCCGAGACCCAGAGCTGAGGAAAAGCTCAGTCAGTCGTCTCATCAAACTGAAGGCAGTCTCAGTAGCCGGGCCGGTCCGGTATATCACTGCCCTCGCCGTCCCTGGCGTTATTTCCGTTGCCGTTGCCGTTGCCGTTGCCGTCGCCGTTGCCTTCGATATTTCTGTCGACGCCGTCGTCCGCTGTCGTCCGCCGTCGTTCCTGTCATCCACTCTCGTCCGCTGTCGTCAATTTTCGTCCACGTCCGTCGATATCTTCCACCCTCAACCTCTCCATCCCCTTTCGGTTCACAACACCACAACTTCGACTTCACGACAGCACCTCACGAGAGCAGCAGAGATTGCTCTTGCCGTCTCCTGCTACGGTAATACCTTCCTCATCCAAAGGTTCGTTACTGCCATCTCCGCCATACCTCCTTCCTCATCCTGCCCTCCTTCCCATCCATCATGCATCATGAACTGCTAGCGCGGTTTTGACCCCTCGAGATATCTATATAATGCCACCTTTCTTCCCCAGAGCCTCCAACCTTTCTTCTCCTCCACACACACACATCAATAATAGCAACTCACACTTTCACATCCAGCTCAGCAGACCTTAGTCACAACAGTCAACCACTACAAGGTAAGCCAAGACATACCTCACCCACCTTCAGCACCAAAACGTACACACCTGCGGTTTGCTAACTTCATCACCAGCTTCGAAAACTCAGCTTCTCTGAACTCTTCTAAGGTAAGTGCAAACAGTTTGCCGTCTCCAGACTCTCACTCCTTCCTTCCTTCATCTTGTGCTTCCTGCCTCTTGTGAGCAGCGGCCGCCCCAAAATCCCCTCCTCAAGCACTACAAAAAAGCGTCTTCTCCTCCACTTCAAACCAAACTTCTTCCTCCACACACAACCACAACAATAACTCAACAACTCACATTTCACTTTCACATCCAGCTCAAACCCAAGCAACATCCATCCATTCACATCCAAGATATGCAACATGGACTATGACAAACATTGGCCCTGCATCTACATTGCTGCCGTCGCCCCTGCCTTCCTTACTGGCATCGTCACTGCTCTTGCTGTTTCTGCCACTGCTGTTACCACTGTTCCTGCCCCTGCCCGTGCTGCTTCTTGCCTCTTCTGAACGGAAGTCGCAAACAATACCTCCAAGCACTACAAAAAGGCCTCTTCTCTCCCACTTCAACACAAACTTCCTTCTCTCTCCACACACAAACAACCGCAACCGCAAACAACATCAACTGACATCTGCTTTCACAGCCTACAAACAACTTTCTCCAGACCACCGCAACAGCAACCCGCAATCAACCACCAACCACCAACAACCGACAGCCAAGGTAAGCACCTCCAAACTCGCTACTGCCTGACACCGTCATCACACTTGCCTGGTCCTTCCGGATTACTACTTCCTTCCTTCTGTGGTCTCTTCAGACTTCAGCTCTGTCTATTTGAACCCTCCTATTCTCCCATCTATCCTTCGCTCAACTCAACCCACTTCACAACACAACGAGCCACTCAACGCACAACAAATCACTTCACATACCAGAAACAATTCACGTACTAACTTCAATATCAAGATGTCTTCCGGCAGCCCCGCTCGTTCTCGCTCTGGCTCCCAGGCCGCCCAGCGTCCCAACCCCTTCGGCCCTTCGATGGGCTTCGACCCGGCCAAGCCTGAGGGCGGTCCTGAGAAGGACCACAAGAACACTCGAATCGACTTGCCTGCGGAGGCGTACACCGTCGGCGCGGATAGAAAAAACGCCGGCGAGACGCCTTTCGCCAAGCGCCCTGGATTCAACACGGCCGGCAAGCCTTGCAACCTTGAGGTCAACCAGTTCCGAGTCAAGTCCTGGAACGACAAGGCCACGATTTACCAGTACGACGTCATGATCTCGCCCACCCCGATGAAGTACAACGTCGTCTTCCAGAAGGTCTGGAAGCATGCCACGGTCCAAGCGATGCTCAAGAAGTACAAGTGCCTGTGGCTCTGCGACGGTCGCAAGCTCGCCTGGGCTCCTGTTGCCATCAACCGCGGTGAGGAGCGTCTCACCATCGACCTTGATGAGGGCCTTCCCCCTCCCAAGAGCGGCAAGCCCCGCCGCAAGGATGACAACAAGTTCTTCTTCGTCATTCGCCAGACGAAGCAGATTCATCTGTCTGCCCTGGAGGCCTACCTCAACAACCGTATGGACTGGGACAACTCCGTCCTTGAGGCGATGAACTTCCTGGATCACCTGGTCCGGCAGTACCCCACGGAAAACCTCCTCTCCATCAAGCGCAACTTTTACAACGAGCATCGCAAGAAGGCCTTTGACCTTGGCAACTGCATCGAGCTTGTCAAGGGTGTGTACGCGTCCGTTCGCATGAACCAATCCTTCAGCGGTAGCATTGGTCGAGGACTTGGACTGAATGTGGACGTCGCCAACACTGCCTTCTGGAAGGGCAACATGCAGTTGCACATGTTCGTCCGTTCCTTCCTCGAGACCTGCGACAAGAGATGGAAGAACCAGAGCCCCGATGACATTGCCAGGCTTCTTGCGCCCGTCCGCCAAAACAGCAAGAACGGCGCCGTCTTCGTCATGTCTGACGCCTTCAAGCACCTGCGCAAGCTGGCCAAGCTGCGTTTCACCCCTCGCCATCGGGGCAAGGAGGACTGGGCGAAGGTGTACGTAATCAAGGCCATCGCATTCGGGCAGGAATACGGCGAGAGAGGCGCCACCGCCAACAACATCAAGTTCACCAACAACGGCGAGGAAATGACGGTCGCAGAGTACTTCCAGAAGACCTACGGCTTCAAGCTTCAGTTCCCCAACTGGCCCCTCATCGAGACTCAGAAGGCTGGCTTCTTCCCCATGGAAGTCTGCATTATTAAGCCAATGCAGCGCTACCCCTACAAGTTGGGTCCTGACGAGACGGCTATGATGATCAAGGGCGCCGTCACGCGTCCCAACGTGCGCAAGGCGGACATCATGGAGGCGAAGGCCCAGTTGGCGTGGAAGGATGACCCCTACCTCAAGCAGTACGGTGTCGTCTTCGACGAGGCTATGGCGAAGACCCAAGGCTGCTTGCTTGAGCCCCCCAAGATCCAGTATGCGAACAACGTCGTCAGCCCCATGTTCGCCGGCCGCTGGGACCTTCGCGGCAAGAAGTTCTGGGTCGGCAACCGTCAGCCCCTGCAGTCCTGGGGTATTCTCATCCTTGAGGACTCGACCAGAAAGCCCGCTGCCGACCAGTTCGTCAAGATGTTCAAGCAGACCTACACTGGCCATGGAGGCAAGATTCTGAAGGACGCTGTTGTCATTGACAGCGAGTCTAGACAGGGTGACATGGCCTTGGCCTTGGCCAACGGCCACAAGGCGATCAAGAAGGCTACAGGCATGACGCCCCAGCTGATCTTCTGCGTCCTGCGCTTCAACAACGCTGGCTCCTACGAGCGCATCAAGAAGTCTGCGGACTGTCGCTTCGGCGTCCTCACCCAGTGCGTTCTTGCCCGCCACGTCGAGAAGAACCAAGGCCAATACCACTCGAATGTCGCCATGAAGGTCAATGCCAAGCTGGGCGGTATTACCTGCCGCATCCCGAACCAGAAGCTTGGCCCGAACAGCAAGGCCCCTGCCTTCTTCGAAAGGGTGACGATGATGATTGGCGTCGATGTCTCCCACGCGACCCCCGGCATCGATGCCCCTTCCATGGCCACGATGACTATGTCCATGGACCAGGACGCCACCTTCTACGCCGCTGCAGTCGACACCAATGGCTACCGGGTTGAGATGCTCTCTCCCGTCAACATTCGCAACTTCCTGGCCCGCCTGATGCCTACCTGGCACAAGCGCATGGGTCACCCGGCTCCTCCTCCCCACATCATCTACTTCCGCGATGGTGTCTCTGAGGGCCAGTACGCCCAGGTTCTCGAATACGAGATCGGCACGCTGAAGGCCATCTTCAAGGAGAAATACCCCGGCGCGACCCTTCCCAGGTTCACCGTCATCGTGGCTACCAAGCGTCACCACGTCCGCTTCTTCCCCCAGCAGGGTGACAAGAACGGAAACCCTCTGCCCGGCACCCTTCTCGAGAAGGAGGTCTGCCACCCCTTCTGGTGGGACTTCTATCTCTGCTCGCACGTCGCCATCCAGGGCACGGCCCGCCCTGTCCACTACACTGTGCTTGTCGACGAGGCCAACATGAAGCCTAACGATCTGCAGAAGATGATCTACGGCCAATGCTACCAGTACGCTCGTAGCACCACCCCCGTCTCTCTGCACCCGGCCATCTATTATGCCGACCTGGCTGCCGGCCGCGCTCGTGCCCACGAGAACATTGCAACTTCCCAGGGCTTCCGCAGCGGACCCAAGGCGGCCGAGATGGTCGAGGAGTACGGTGCTCGTGGCCAGAGCATGTTCGAAGGCGACAGACCTACCGAAGCTCTTCAGCTTCTGCCCCTCGGCGGCGCCAGTGGTGATGCCGACCCCGCCTCGACCGAGATGTTCAGGAACACCATGTGGTACATCTAAAGGCGACACAGGACGATGCGGAAAGATGATTGCAGGGAAGGCAGAGGAAGGGGAGACGACAGTAGCAAAGGCGATGGCACAGGAGATGATGGCACGAGAGAAGATGACAATGGCACGGTAGACGAGAAGATTCAGGATAGCAGAGATGATATCAGAGAGGAAACCGGACATTGAGGAGATTCACAGCAGAAAATGGTCAGCTAGTTCAGGTATTGAGCTGCTTGGGTGAGCAGGCACTAGATAGCGAACTTGTGGTCATTTCTGAAATCAGCTGCATCTACGTGACTACGTGACATGACAATCGCTTGCATGGAAGCTCACAAACAAAGTCAGACTGGGTCGAGTTTGAAGTTATTTTAGGGGGACTTTTGATCCAGTCAGCGCGGGATGTTCTGGGTTTGAGAGGAAAATGAGAAAGACAACATAGATGGATGCGAAAAGTTTTATCGGAAGAGTCTGAAAACCGGAGTCAAAGAGGTACCTCGATCAGACTCACAACAGACACTAATGGGCAGCACATTTCAAGGTTCCTCAGCTCCGTGTCATAACTCGAGAAAGATGCCTGCTCGGATTTAATTGAAAAGCCATTCTTCTGTCTCCGCCCTTGGGAACGTCAAAATCAGTTGTGGTTTACCTCCTGGGTATCGACAACCATGCAGACCCGTAGTGCCTAGAGAGTAGCGAGATATTCAGGAAAAGAATTTGAGACTTCATGGGAAAAGTCTCGACTCGTCGTTGCCTTTACAAAGGTGTCAATTATCATCGGAGAAAGGATGCTTCATAGTACGAAGGCCCCGCCAGCCCCCTTGTGGCTAACTCGCGATCTTCCCATCGCAACATCCATAAAACCTTGCATCTACTCTGCATCAATCAACTACACCTAAACAATCATTCAAGATGGCTGGTTCCAAGACATGCGAATCCAAAATCTCTGGAAATGCTGACAATAGTCCCGAATCCAAGACATCTGGTACTTTCAGAGACCATGATGAGAGGACGCATGATCACCACCAGTGCTTGGCAAGGCAGGAACGCTTGCTCGCCAAATTTCTCAGCGGTTGTATCATCTTCGCAGTGGTGTCAATCTTTTACATGGTTTTGTTTGTGGTGATTGCACCTGCGAATGAAGTTGGCGACATGAAGAAGACGACTGCCAACAGGGCAGCCACGGAGACCGTCACAGCAACCCAAACCTCCACGACAACCATCACGACTGGCATCACGGCAATCCTTCCCACGAAAACGAGAACGAGCACTGTTACTGTCACTGCAACTGCAACTCCCACCCCGTCGGCTCAGCCAGATGATACTCAGTACCCTTTGACGTCCCATGGAACGCAGTCCGACATCGACTGGCTCTCAAATACCATTTTCGCCCCGATCCCCGCGGAGATCTTGACGCCGCCCAAGAGAGTCGTAGACGGCTACTTCGATTACAACTACTGCGGAAACTCCCTGCGTCCTTTCGACTTCACCAGGAGCAAGCCCATGAATCCTACGGAGCTGCAGCACCAGATCGGAGCCAAGATGCTGCCGATCAGGGAGGGACGTTATGTCGGCGACAGACACTTCGATATCAACATCGACCTCGGAATTGGAGCGGAGAAGGCCAAGGAGCACAAGCAGAAGGTCTGCGGCATGCTTCGCAAGTCTGGGGGCGGATTCATCCTGCGCAAGATTGGAGGAAGGGAGGGCTACTCATACGAAGCCATTCTTAACGACAACGCAATCGTGGAGATTGCAAAGATGGAGGAGGTTTCTGAGGTATTTCACCACCAAGTCCCGCGGGATCGTTTCCGTAGCAAGGAGTAGACTTGGTGATTTGAGGGAGATGGGCGTTGGTCATTGGAGCTCATTTTTTGGTACTCTAGAGAAATGCCTGGGCATTATGGGGATCTAGATATCTACTCGAAAACTAGATTGGTACATATAATGAGAATGAAAGTTCTGTCTATACTATCGTAATCAACGAAGCCTGTGATGAAACCGTGTCGGTATGCAACCTTGCTTATCAGGAGGATGCCGTCGGAGAAACAGTGCGAAAGTTTCAAGCAAACCCAGCTGTCGGCGATGAAGAATGCAAAAGTTTCAACTCTACTAAGACTGACTTCTTATATTTTAGAGTTTGGTGTTTTCATGGCAAAAGCTATCAAAGGTGGGAGGTGTACGGGAGACACGTACACCGAAGCCGACCACAACCATCCAGGCGTTTATATCTTAAAGACCAGGTATCTCAAGGTACTTTAAGTCCAAAACTTTTATAAAGTAGCTCTCTGTACAGTCATTTCTTATCAGTTGAATTTACCCTCCAACACCACCGCATCATCATCAATCTCCTCCGATCTTGATACCTTCACATACATCAAGAATATCAATACTTACAATGACTCGCCAAGCTGTACAATACCGATTCACAGATCGAAAGATTGGTGAGTTGGCGCTTCTGTTCATTTGCGTCGGAATGTATCTGTATCACCTCAGTTACCTTGCGCTTCAGGCTCTCTCACGCCCAGGGCAAACTACTTATGGAACTCACGTCACTCACAACTGCACCCACCACATCGTTGTCAACACGATTAACGACAATGACTCCTACGCGCCCTTCAATCCAACATCAGAGACAACTGAGCCCCCGATCTCCTATGCCACGGAGACGCTGGCAGACGACATTGGAAGCATGCCGTTTTGGTTGTGGTTCGGTGGACCAGAACCACCTGATTGGTGCGGATCTCAACTGTCGTCATACACGATAGCACATCAGCCATACGATCTCCGTAAACTTGAAGAACGACTCGGCGACAAGCTGGAGACATTTCAGGAACCAGGAGTTATCATGAGAGGGCTCTTCCGCATTTTGCTCGACCCCGGCGTTTTCCCTTCTCCGCCATCTTCGATGACGGTCAGCGGAAGGCTTTCAGCAGAGGATTATTCAAAGACGGAATCGTCCTACACGAACATGGTGAGGACCTACGCCATGACGAAACGCAACATTATGGCTACACACATCACCGCAGTCTGTATCATCCTGAAGAAAGACGGCGCCCAAGGCGTCGTAAAGAACTTCGAGGCAGACACGCTCAGGACGATGAGTTATGTTGGTGCTTTTGATGAGGATACACTGGTGGCGATTTCGAGTTTGCCTGGGGTGGCCAAGATTGCTTATGTGCGTGCGGATGGGAAGCGAGGATAGGTAGTGTCCTTAGCTCGGGTCGGTCAGTAAGAGTGTCATATTCAATTTTGTTAAACTAAAAAAGATATCCCCGATGCCCTGGGTTCTTCTGGCCGCCACTAGGGATCTAGACTTCGTCGGCCACTATCTACCGACACCAATACCGGAGGTGAAGAAAAACAACCCTAAAAGCTTTCCAATAAAGATATGTTGCAATTCACTGACTTTTCTTTGTGCTGTCGAATTCCAATAGCACTAACTCTCATCGTTGTGTTGCTAAAGGAGGTGTTTTTCTTTGTTCGGGGAGACCTGGGCTAGTCGTACCTGAGATAATGCTCTCCCAGCCACGTTTCCAGCTGGGCTTCCGCTGGTGCCGCTGACTAGTGGCGTTAGAATTTTAAGAAAGCGTTCTTCTGATGGGATAGGAAGATGTCTATCTCCTTTTAAAGGGGCGACGAGCAGACCCTGCCCCCTAACTCCTATTGCCCATCGACAACACCAAGATGACACGCAAGGCACCACAACCGTATCAGGGGACGACACCAGGAAAGGAGACACACACCTGGAGCCCTCAGATGACTCAAGATGCAAGACTCACAGGCCGAAACTATTTCCGAACCCTCATCGTTCTATGCGCGCTAGTATGCTGCTTGATCGGCAGCCAGCTGCTCAGCATTTCAAGATGTGCCGGGAACTGCATCCTCGAACACGCAAGCCCCATTGTCCTGTCCATGCCGGTCGAGACAGCAGCACCGTTTGAGAAAGACGACAACCCCTTGAAGTGGTACATTGCCATCGGCTTCGGCCAAAACCGCTGCGTGGGCTCCATCTCTCCTTTCGCCTCGCCTCAGACGAATCGGTCAGACCCCGCCGAGCTTCTTCAGCGCATCGGGGACAAATTCAAGTCTCGCGGTGACGGGATAGCCACTTTTGACAAACACTACACCATCTCACTCAAGTTGTCGGAGCCGGAGGTGCAGAACCATCTCGATACGGTGTGCACCCTGCTCAAGGTGCCTGGGGCCCGTGGGTTCATCAGCTACTGGCCCGGCGAGGGTGGGAGTCTCAAGTACTCGAACTACGTCGGCGCTTTTGACGACGACACGCTGGTGATGATCTCCAAGCTGGCTGGGGTCCTCGAGATTCTTCCGACTTTGGCTACGGGCGACAGGGAGAGCTGGGTGAAGGAGATTGGGGCAGATGCGGAGGAGGGCAATGATCTAGGTCAGGCTATCAGAGAGAAGGTCGGGCATGCTGCAGCGTGGTTGCGGTCTTGAGAGACGAGATTTAACGTTCGTTAAACTTCATCACTTTTTTGTATTTATTTTGCAGATCCAGTGTGTAAAGCCCCCATCTGTAGAAACGAAGTCTATCTTACTGAACGGTCTTGCAAAAATGACTGGTGTTATGTTTCCACCCGCCTTGTGCCCCTACCTTGTGTGCTTATCTTTGGTATTTAACGGGCCGCGGAACATCCTCGTCACACCTTGGACGACCTGTCTTGCTGCTGAATATTCGCAAAATTTCGCGCTTAATATGAGTAAGCACTCGATACAACGACGCGACAATGTCAGAGGCTTCTTCGATCGCCGCACGCAAGCCGTCCAATTCATCGCCCACATCAGCATCATCCTCTGCGCCTTGGGCCTCGGCACAAAGCTGGACTGGCCGTCATCCATCGGAACGATAATCAACAACCAGGTGGCCAACATCATTTCACATATGCGTCCCGCGACCAAACCGACATACCGACGCCCTGCTACGATCCCGCTTGCGACGGTAGAACTGGAGTACCCTTTTGTTCAAGACCTAAGCAAAAGCCTCTGCCGTGATCCAAAAGTCCCTGGAGAGCACCATACACGACGCATGACGAACGAGACACCACAAGACGCCATGAACCTCCAAGATGTTTACAAAAAGATGGGAAGTAACATCACTCGGGCTAACGACGGCGACAGAATCGAAAACCATGGCTATAAGATTCATGTTGCACACGGGATGGACACCCTGGCTACGCATCTCGGCCAGGTCTGTCGTCTTCTCAGAGAGACCGGAATTGCGGGAGTGGTGATGTCGTGGCCTCATCACATTTGTTGGAGGAAGGCTTGTCAGATGACTTATTCGGGGTATTTTAGCGAGGATGCCATTGTTGGAATCTCGAAGCTGGATGGGTTCAGAAAGGTTGAACATCTGAAAGTAAGACGAAACGAAACTGCACCTTGAGTAATGGCGCAACCCCTCCGGCGGAACATGTATATACAATTCACCCTCCTGCGCGTCACCGCAATGAGCCAAACCAACCTTATCAGTTCGCATTTGTCAAGGTGTACAAGAGCTACTTAAGGGATATAATCCCAGAGTTTCACGAGACGAGATTCAGACGGTAAACGTCTAACTCACAGCTTTCTGCCGCGATCCCAGAATGACGAGACTGATCAGATCAAACTTCATCACGATGCGCGGCCTTGTCAGTCTTTCGCATCTCTTCCTCACCATCATCCTCTCAACTTGGGTCTGGAAACTGAGATAAGAGGTCGGCGAGCTTTCCTCCAAGCTTTCCTCCAACACAGCACCCGTCAACATCACCGTGCCATCAGCAGCAGCGGCGACGGCTATTACGACCGAGGATAACTCCATTTCCATCGTACCCCATCCATGTCTCCCTTCCAACGGCGAAGGCGAGGGCATGTGGAGATGGCCGGCGTCGTCCAAGACATGCACCGATAAAGAGTGCAAAGAAACCGGCGGGCTGCCCGCCAGGATGAACCTCGACGATATATACAAAAGGGGAGCAGGCGTCATTGAGAGGGCTCAGGGCGATTGGGAGGTCTACAACCACTATTTCAAAATCTACCTGCGGCAGGAGGAGCTTTGGGACAAGTACAAGCACTTGATGGGGCTTTCAAACGTCATTCGGAGTGGTCATGCTTCGGGAGTCGTGACAGACCGAGTAGGACTGATGTTTTTCGACAAAGACTACTACAAAGGCTTCTTCGACGACGACACCATTGGGGCTATCTCGAAGATGGAGGGCGTGAAGAAGATTGAGCATATGAGAAAGCTTGCGGGAAATGAAAGGCCATATGACGATTACTTGTCTTAACAGAGAGCTCGTCTCGGGTAGTACTACATGTGCGTAACTCTCCACACTTGCCTCAATACAGTCGTGTCCAGCGATTTTCCTTGCGGCTCCATACTCTCGCCTAGCTGCTTGTTTACCGACTTACCAGTCGTATTGTATTGTCACTGTTTTTGCGACATTGCACAGCGGTCATTGACATGACTACGCGGCCACTTTTTGTGATTGTAAACATGACGCCCAAATTTACACCGGCACAATGCCCAACGTCAGATACCCCTTTACCCGCGATAACAGCAACACGCTCATCATCGACGGTCACCGGGAGATGGCCGAGTCGCACCCGGGCGAAAACTTGGCCGTCGGAGTTGCCGCTGGGCTCAAGCTGGCTGGGCTTGAGGTGTTCTACAAGGAATTAACCCATCAAGAAGAGGAAGACAGGCAGAAGGATAAGGATCTCGAAGCCGTTACCATTGGAGACATCTCGGCGAATGCCACTTCCCTCCACAAGTTGAAACCCATGGGAGAAATGCGCAAGTCGCCGCCGGCAGACACTACTACCCCAGTGTCCGCGGTGTAGACCCGAACCATTCGACTTGTTGAAATACAAAGGTATAAATCAAGCCGATGGCAGTCTTTTCGAAGCAAAGCTTTCGACAACCCACTCAAACTCGGGTCGTCCTTGGCATGGATGTAAAGAAACCTCGGGCCACAAACGCCTGCAAAGACAAATCAACCAGTTATGTGGCCCACAACGACAATCACCGTTCACTCGACTCGAGCTCCCTAACTCAAATGCTTGGATCCGTAACACATGACTCTTGGTGTAACTTGGTATAGTAGTACATGATCCTCATCAACTCGGGAACAATAGACATGAAGAGAAGAAACAGTATCGCTCCTTTTTTCCAATACAAAAAATAGCAATCGCGGCAGACAAGACACCACTTGTGATTTTAGTTCCCCGCAAAAAGACCCCAATGAATCGACCCCACAAGAGCTCTCCGCCCATGACATCAATGCAACCCACACAAGCAACCCACATCTCGGTGTATTATAACCCGTGGCCAGCACAACCTCTCTTTCCGTCCCTGGCTCCGCTCGTTCTGTCCCTCCTCCTCCTCCCCTGGCGTTACATCCCGTCAGCGACAGTCACCTATTTTGAGCTGACGACCACGTTGGGGATATCGAGGCTCTCGCCCTTGGTGTTGGTGTTGGCGACGGGCATCTCGCGTCCGCTCTCATCCGCAAAGTTGGAACTCGCACGGCGGCTGAGCGTCAAACCCGCAATGGAGCGCGCGTTGGGGCCGTAGTTGATGTTGCTCGCCTTGTCGAGCGTCTCCTTGCACATGCGCAGGAAGACGGCGCCGAGCTCGGGGCGGTGCAGGGGGATGAGGCTGAAGAAGAGCGAAGCAGTGATGCGGAAGAGAGTCTTGCGGTGGAGGCGGACAGAGTACGTCTCCTCAAGGAAGGTGAAGAAGACCTCCTGCAGCTCGTTGAGGAGGTCCTGGTCGGCCTCATCGAGTAGGGGCGCATCAGTCTCCAGGGCACCACGAAGGTCATGGTTGTTTGCGCTCATGAAGAGGATGTGGTCGTAGCCGCAGAGAGACTGGAGGACCTTGCCGAGGTCGTAGTGAATGTCGCCCTCGGGCGTCAGGGTGTTCTCGAGCTGGCAGCGCACGTCGATGAAGCTGACGAGCTTCTCGTCCTTGGAAAGGATGGCGTTGCTGAAAACGGGGTCGCCGTGGATAACCTGGGCGTGCACCCCCTTCTCCTCAGCCTCGTATGTGTCGAGGAACTCGTTGATGCGAGCAAAGAGGGAGCCGGCCAAGGGACCGAGGGCGTCGTACTTGTCCTGGTCCTTGTAGTAGCGGCTGCGCAGCTTGGAGCCGTAGTTTGCGTAAATGTTAACACGGTGGTTCGCGCGCGCCAGGGAGTGCTCCTCAAACTTCTTCTCCAGCGCCGAGGGGATCTTGAGAGTGGCCTTATCGGTGCTGGCGGTGGTGTGGATAGTGTGGAGGGACTTTAGGAGGGAGATGAGGCGGCCCTTAGTAATGGAGCGGCCGACCAGCAGGTGAGAAAAGGTCAGACCGCGGCGGTTCTCCATTGTGATGTTGTAGATGGAGGTGTCAGCAATGTAGTCGACATTGTAGACGGTGGGGAAAATGTGGGAGATCTCGGAGGGCATGTGTGAGTAGAAGAACAGCTCGCCGAGAATGTTCTCCGATTTGCTCGACTTGATGACCTTGTCGCCGATAATCTGGATCGTGTTGAAGTCGCGCGCCGCAATCATGCCGGCCTTCTTCGCCTCCTCGCCTGCGCTGGCCTCCTCGCCGATTAGTGCGGCAGGGTCCTGCTCGTCCAGCAGCCAGCCGATTTCCCGCATGGTATCCAGGTTGGCATTGACCGCCAAGTCGTCGACGTAGACATCGGCGTAGGGCTTGCCGAAGTGGATGTCGTGGTACGGGATCTCGTACTTGGCCAATTGGGCAAAGGTGACGGGGCCGACGTCTGCGAGCACGGAACCAATGTTGCCCTTGTGTGTTCGCATGCGACGAGCGGTTTGCTGCCGTCCGGTTAGCGGTCGCTCATCCCTGCCAAGCGCCAAGATCGACTTACAATGATAATGTAGTGGCCCGCGTTGTACAGCTGCTGCACGAGACGAATGTTCTTCTCGATGGGCGGGCACGTTGAGTAGTCGCCAGGAATGGCGGGCACACCGACAAGAGTCATGTCGAGGTCGAAGCAGAAGCGGCGCTTCTTCAGCTTGATCGGCAGGTTCGAGGTGTCGGACTTGAGAAGCTTCAGGAGGTCCTGAAGCTGCTCGGGAGTGCCAACGACGCTGAAATCCTTCGTCTTGACGGGCATGCCCAGGTAGGGAACACCGTTCTGGATCATGAGGGCAATCATCTGCGAGGTGTAGTACTCGCCCACCTCTGAGCCGTCGGGCCTCTTCATGTCGAGGTTCTCCGAGGCCCATGACTTGAGCTGACCTGCCGTAGGGAAAACGTATGCGCCCGTGTTGGCCTTGTTGGAAATGGCCTTCTTTTCTTGAATGTCTACAATGCGCTCCAGACCGTCCCTGTTGCTGTTAGCACCGCCACTTTCCACATTCACATGCGACTCACTTTGTGGCCTCCGTCTTGATGTACGAGAAAATGGGCTTGTCGCCGACGTCGGGGAAGTAGAAGCAGCCGCCATGGCCCTTGGGCATGTTGCGAATGTCCTGGAGGACGTCGGCCCAGTAGATGGTATCGCAGTCAAGGGAGACAGTCTTGCGCTCGAGGTGCTTCTTTGTCATGCTCTGGGTGACAATGTACAGCTGGAAGGCGACAGATTAGCGACGTGGGCCTCGCACTTGGCTCTGCGCACTCTGCCCCTCTATTGGCGAGCGGGCGCAAAAGAGGAAATGGTAGCTTACCGTCTCGCTGGCACCCTTGGTCTGGTGCCGCAGGCGCAGCAGCCTGAAGTCGATCTTGGAGAAGGTCTTGCTGACGAGCTGGCCGATTCTGAACTCGTCGTCAATCTCCTCGTTGACGGCCATCCACAAGGTGTCGCCGGGCTTGAGGCTGAGGTTGTCGATCAGCCATAGCAGCATGGGACGGCCGACGATGTTGATGAGAGGCTTCGGGTAGCGGTAGCCCTGCTTGGCGAAGCGCGAGCCAATGCCGCCGATTGGGATAATAACGTTGATGGGCTCATAGTCGAGGTTGTCGCCGTTGGGCGCGGCTGCCGATGCTGTCTGAGGAGCCATCGTGTTGGTTTGGCGAAGGGATCAACGGCTACGTTGCAGCAGTGTGTCCTCTCGCCGGATGCGAAAAGGAGTGGTGGAATGGTCAGGAAGCCACTTGAGCGCGTGTGCGGGCAGGAATCGTTCTGGACTTTCCCTCTGTCGCGCAACGGTGGGAAATGTCTCTGAATTCTGGTGGGACCGTGGCGGCGGTGAGGTGAGACTTTCAGAAACCACAGCCGAGAAACAAGATGTCGTCGCACAGAGTTTCCAGCGAGGGATGAGATAGATGCAGATCTCGACAAGGTTCCAACCTAGCTCACGGAAGAAAAAGAAACAGGTAAAATGTGAAGCTTGAGGTCGCGATGGGGAGCTTAGGAAGAAGCACGTAAAAGAAAAAGGTCCGGCAATGGGGCTAGGTGTAAGGTGTCCCTCTCGTGTTACTCCGACTACATTTCCCTACTCTGGCTACTCTGGATGGATGGATGGACAGCATGCCGTACAGACTAATAAGGTACGTATCCCGGCCGGCAAGAAGCACAGTGACAGAAGTGACCACGGTTGATTTGGGGACACGATCGCTGTGAAAGCCGACAGGGGAGCAACTTGCCTGCGCGGGGGTCGAAAAAAAAAAGTTCGGCCCTCATTCTGCGAAAATGGGCTAAGCTATTTTAATTTTCTCCAACTCGAACAGATCCAATGCGGGTGGCAGCAGCAGCAGCAGCAGCAGCAGCAGCAGCAACACCAGCGGCAGCCGGCCCCCGAGGGCCAAATCACCATGTAAAGCCCATCCATTTGGGGGTCTCTCCGCCTTGAGCTCCCTGTCGTGCCCCTCTACTATGCAGTATCGCTGTTGCCCTGGGCTTACATTTTTCTTACACTGCCCGCAGGCTGCAGGCAGCATCTTGGAGGACAAGGATAGGGGAAGCGCCCCTCAGGGGTCCTTTCGCGCGCTGAGGGCTTGGCCAGGCGGGCTGGACCATCCGAAGACAGCCCACTTAATCTTGAGCTGTGCTGCTGCCTTTCCTCGCGCCGCATATCTACCTCCCTTACCAGTCCAAGGTTTAACATCAGACAGGTAGACAGGCGCAAGAGAATAGGGGCTCTGCGTTGCCATGCCGCATGTCATTATTTTCTCCCAAGGCGTGCAGCGTAGCCAACAACTAGACTAGCGATATCGACGGATTGCTGCCATGTTACTGCCATTTGCACGCCGGCCGGGAGCGAGTGTCAATGGATGCGGGAGTGGACCCGGTTCGACCACACCCCCGGCTGGAGACAGTTAGCGTCGTGGACCGCCACACTGTGTCGTGATACCCCTGTTGCCCAAGAGAACCCTCGACGCCCGGACCAGCCCAGCCCGATGGACCCCAGACGAGGGAAGCGACTTCTCTTCCAGGCTTCCAGGTCCAGAAAGGAAGTGCCCGTATTGCCGCCAGCGCATCACCTCACGACTTTTCTAATCAGTCCTCACTTTGCCCGGGGCGCTGGATGGGGCCTCGGAAACTCTGCCCCCATCTCCCGAGCCTCGGCCGCCAGGGGCTCTTATTCATGACCGCCCAAGACTGTGCAACGTTTGAACTCTTGTCTGGTAAGGTAGCCACGAGGGGCAGAAACGGGCACCGCGCGTTGGATCATGGCGATCAGATTTGCGAGGACAGAGACACCACACGCGCAAAGCGAGGGGCCAGGTTGACGTGAGAAGACAAGCCCCTGAACGAGGCGGACGGAAGCAAGCGCCGCTTTGACTTTGCTTTCTGCTGGTTAACCTCATCCATTCGTCAGTTGTCGGTCTCGAGTGCTCCCTTTGTGTAGGCTTGGCCGTCCCAATTTTCAGCATCTGCTGTGCA